TTAGCATTGCCATTTATTCTATTTATTGGCTCAACGAATCCAACCAATCTGTCTTTGCCGTGTTGCCAAACTGCAAAGTAATCGTCCATATCACGAACTAATAACTCGGGAACTGGGAGTGCCTCTTGGAACACACCAACTTCCAATTGGGCCATGTAGTTATTAGCTAAAATAGGAGCTAAACGACATCCCGTAGTCAAGCCCCGTGTCTGTTCATACAACTTGCCATCAAAGGTCGATTATGTATTGAACATTGACTAATTGACTAATCCAATGATTGAACCGTTGCTTAACTTGTTATCTGGTATGTTTTCAGGGTGTTGATCTAGAGCTAATTCTAACGCCTTCATTGCCTCATTTATTGGAATATTAGTGTACAGACACCACGTCGAAACTTACTAGCAAATCTCCTCTTTCTATAACTATATTTCATCTTAGGACTTTCTTATCAAATACCTCAAAGTTTCTCAGATTTATTTTGATTGAATACAAATAATTCAGCCTCTACCGCATCCACTACTTTACTCAACTGCAGACATATAAAGTGATTATGATGCCAGCTTATTTAGTGACTTATTACATTGATGCTGTATTTCTTAAAGTCTGGATTCCTGCTCTGACGATGTTTGCCGTGACGGTACAGAATAGGAGCATTGGCTTGGTTCATCAGAGTTGGAAGACGCTGAGCCAAAGAATTATTTGATTAATTCAAAGGTCTTCACCATAGAACACTCAATCTTCTCCGAACTCCAGTGATACCAATTTGCAAATTCCTTTTAAACAAATTTTCGACTCGAAATGGATAATCGAGTGAAAACAAAAATGTGGTGCCATAGTTGGAATTAACAATTAATCTATCCAAAAACTGTCAGACCTTCATGCCAATAATCAGCTTTGGTTCTACTGACACGCCCAATTGAAATCCTCCTCCGCAATCGAAGCCGATTGCCTCGGAACCAGCTTCAATAAGAGGGTTCCAGTAAAGCCCATCTACGACATCTGGTCAACAGGAGCCTTCTGAAGGGATCGACCTTCGAAGCTGTCCATCAACCATACTTTCACTCGTAGTGGACGTGAACTCAACTCGTATAAACCAAGCGATTCCTCTAAAGTCCTCTTTTAATCGCACAACAAAGGTTATATTTAGGAATTACTGATAGTCTCGGAGACTATTTATACCAATTTTTGTTTCTGTACCTTCTTCATCTATTTATCTATCTCCTGCAGAAAACGAGTGGACTCCTGATGCTCCGGAGAATTTCATTCTACTCGCCAGCTACCAGACTTCGCTCAGCTTCTCCTGGAATCCGGCGAAAGTGAAAAATGGCAGCATTTTTGAGTACCGGTTGATCGTGCACCCTGTCGAACGGAATGACCTCTCCTGGTCCCGCTTCTTCCCCAAAGGCACCGACATCGGCTACACTGTGATCGACCTCCTCCCCAGTGTCACCTACCGATGCACCCTGTACGCGATCTCCTACGCCAACGTGATGGGCGAACCGGTATCCCTTCTGGCCACTACCGTGCCTTCAGGTTGGCCGTCCGCTCCGCCATTCATCCGTTTTTTTCCACTTTTCTTGGAACCCGCCCCACCCCGTAGGCTCGTTGGTAGCATTTGTGCCCACTTTGGGCGTTCCTCTTTGTTGCAGAGCCTTTCACGAGCAAGATGCACAGGTCTTAATGGATGGAAGGGTCTTGGGATGTCTGGTTGAGGCCATTCAATCTTGGCGCATTGGTTGGCGTCGGGTGAAGATCCGTTCAAGTAGGATTTCTTGGATGCCTCCTCTGTTTGCCTACAAAGGAAGCCCACTTTTTGACCAAGTTCTCCTTAGTTGCTGTCAAGACTGCCAGACCTCGAAAGAGGAAGTTTTTTGATAGATTCGGTTGCAAGTAGGCAGAAAATGTGGGATTAATTGTTGAAAGTAAATAAATCTTAGATTTAAATGTGCTCAATGAAGACAGACTTGGTGGCCCAAAGCCAATCAGGTTAGGGTAACGCAACAAAACGTAGGGAAAACTTCCATTTGTAAGTGAGTGGTTGATACCTGCCATCGCTTAGTTTGGTCCTTGTCACTAAACTTCGTTAGTCTTGCTCCTATGTTTCCATTTTTGTCCTGGCTAGATATCATATTGAGGCTCAAATAGACTAAAAAACCCAGTTTACAGGAACATTTAGCTGAATTGTATAAGTTACATCAGGATATTATTGTAGTAGTAGTGCCAAAATTCTGCTATAGATTCGCGGCATTGGTTTTTCATTTTTGTTATTTTTGTGTTCTACTGCTAATGATAAACCAGAGGATTTATTAACAGGAAGATTTGATTTTGTGCTAAAATCCAATGAGCTTGCATTCATAAAGTCGATGTTTATTCGGACTGAATAGAGACGTAAAGACTGAAATGGCTTTATGCAAAAGGATAATCGTTTCACTAAACTTTCTTTATCCTCATTTCCCAATTTTGTATTCTCATCTAGAGTAGACCTCAAATTCAGGTGAGGTTAGATAGTGAAATTTGTTGTTAAATCTAATGATCCGAGTTTACAACCCATGTTATTAAATGAGTCACAGAAAATTTCTGACAGGAAAACTGATTTGTATAGAAAAATCATATTTGTCAGTGAATTGCTGATATTACTAATTATTTCATTGTAAGTAGTGCATATACAAAATTCTACATTATAAAAACGAAATCGATTTATTTAGCATTAAAATTTGTTAAAATCATTTTTGTACACTACTTTTTCTGATGAACTATAGGATTGACTGAAGATAAAACTTTATTTTGCATCACAATTAGCATTTTAGAGTCTATGCTCATACAGGCTTGATGGAGGCTTGACTCTTCACCTCACCTCAGTTTCATCAACACCCACGGTTGGGTTCGAAGAGTGGATGTGCTGGTTGATTAAAGGACAGATTGTCTCCTCCGCCCCATGAGTGTATATTTCTGTTGCAGACATTTCTGTCATAGCAACAGCGTAATCTCTAGCCCCATTTTGGC